TTCTTTCTAGTAAGTCAAGCTTTTCTCATATCGACACACACTCTGCTAGACAATAGACAATGAAACCTTAGCTAGTAATTAAAAATACCCCCAAAAAATATTTTTAAAAGTATATTTTTAAAAAAAGAAAAAGCGCGTTTAAACGCGTCTAGGAAAAACGCGTTTAAACGCTAGCAAATGGTGCATTTTCGCTGCACTCAGACGCGTCTAGTAAAAACGCGTTTAAGCGCTAGCAAATGGTGCATTTTCGATGCACTCAGACGCGTCTAGTAAAAACGCGTTTAGACGCGTCCAGGGAAAACGCGTTTAAACGCTAGCAAATGGTGCATTTCCGGAGCGATTAAACGCAGCAAAAAACGCGTTTTCAGACGCGTCTGGGATTGAAAAATATTTACATGATATAGTAGAGAGAAAAATAGTCGAAAAATCAGCGAACAATAGTATATATATATGAATACACGATTAACGTCATTCAGTTTAAAAGAAACTCTGTATATCCTTGACAATAATTTTTAAATAAATCGAAAAGTAGGAAATTTAAAAATGATTCAAACTGCTGCTTGAGTTTTATTGTTCTTAATAAAAACTCTACTGATTATCAATGAAAATGTTTAGAGTATTTCTAACACCAGTTTCAGTTTTCTTTGTTTGAAGTATTACATTGGTAAAAAGTTTTGAGTTTTTGAGTTATGTTATGCTTTTATGACTTCGCTAAAACACAGAAAAAGAAAAACGAAATGAAACACAAAAAGAAAAAAAGCTAGGCGGTGTTCACTCTGTTCTGGTTTATTCGTCCGCATTGCAACTAAGGATTGAAGAATCCTCGGTCTGTCACCCTCCAGATCGGATCTGGTTTAAATGACAGTCGTCATTTTGTATCTCCACTCTTTCCAGCAACCCGTCTTCACTTCACGTTTGCATGATTATTTTTTCTTCTTGCACCAGTCCGGTGCGCACGATCGAACGTGATCGATAATGCCTTATGGTTTGAACGAGCGTTGACATCCGGGACACGTATAGAGACCGTTCGCGCCCCTAATCAGGACTTCTGTCACTTTCTTCTTAACATGGCCTCTCGCTGCAGCTGCTTCATCTGCTCTCCGTTTGTCCGCTGCTGCTTTGTACTCGTGTACAATCCTTTTTATATTTTTATGAACTGGTCGGGTAATGACGCGTCTGTTGATCAGCTCCCGCCAATCATTTCTATTGAGGATGGCCCGCCTCCATTTAGTAATGCCCATAGCTTCCAGATCTTCTAAAATCTTGGTTTCCCATCTCTTGATTATGCCCGGATTTACAGGTTGGTTTTCGAGAGCAAAGTGGGAGTACATCATCTTCTTCACGAGGGAGGAAACCCCTTCTTCGGTCTCTAGACGGTTAGCGTGTCCAAGCCACCTTAACCGATTACAACGCATTAGATCTTCAATGGTCGGTTGACCGGAGAGTTGAAGGATCCTTAAGTTTGGCACACGATCTGCCAAGTTCAGGCCAAGGATTGTACGGAGACATCTCATGTAGAATGTGTTGATACGAGTCTGTTGCGTAGTGGTCAGCGTCCATGTTTCACTCCCATAGAGAAGGACTGGCAGGGTACATGCACGAAAAATTCTGAGTTTTGCTTCGATCGAGACAGTTTTTCTGTACCAGACGACTCCTCGAAGCATGTTGAACGCAGATGATCCTTTTCTCAATCTAGCTTCCAGTTCGTTTACTGTGCTCTGGTCTCTCGACAGGATGCAGCCGAGATAGGTGGAAGAATTGACGGTTTCGATCTTCTGTCCGCGGATGAGTGAGGTAATGTCTGATTGGTCGATTTCCTTGTGGCGTTGCAATTTGTTCTGCACATCTGTTTCAAATTGCTGCAGTGACATAACACACGTCTTCTTCACGCTCATGGTTAGTCCATATTGCTGAGTGACCTTCTCGAAGCTCAGTATGAACTTTTACAGATCCGCCAATGATTCAAACGCTGCAAGAAGATCATCCGCATACATTAATTCCCGAAGCTCGAAGGTGTCAAATGCTTCGCTGGAGGGATGAAAGAAGTCGTTGCTCCCGTAGCATAATTTAACTCCGGTGACACCAGCGTCCTCGAACACCTTCCTGATGATAAAGTCGAAGAGTACGACGTTGAACAGGCCAGGCGATGGTATATCGCCTTGCATCACGCCGGTTTCGATGTTGAAGCTATCGGGTTTCTCTCCCAATTCGGACTTGAGCCTTTGAGTAAAAAATTTCATAACCTAACCTATAGAAATCGTAACCTAAACGCTAGATGGAGCAAAACTTTTACTTTTATCTCTTGTAATGAATTGACTCACATGTCTTTCATAGGTCTTTATACGCATGTTGCTCTCGCGAGTCATTTTCTTATGCTCACTGAAGAGTTGTCAGCTATCGACGAGTCCGCATACGTGACATGTTTGCCGGTCTATTTATGATCACGTTCGGTTTAAACCGTCTCATCTATGAAACGATCATATATTTGTATACCTTTCGAGCTGTACCAAGCTTCATTCAAATGGCCTCGAACTCAGCGGAGCTATCCTGCGGTATCCAGCAGTCTTTTCTCACCAATGTCTGTCCATGGTGATTGTGGAGGAACTTGTCTGTATTTTTTATTTTTTTTGAAAAGTTTAGTACTTTATACTTATACCGATAACCTTCTAGAAAATGTATACCTTAATATTTTGACTTTAACACGCAGTTTCATGTGTACAAAACCAAACTATTAATAGATAGCTGAAAAGATCTGTTTTATGTCAGGTCCTACCCGACTACATTCTGCATAGTTCCTATACAAAGTTTGTGTGACGCTTTTGAGCCGTACCGCTTTCGGGCACTAGCAAAAATCCAGTTTCGGCGCTGCAACGAAGCGGGTTAGTTTCTTGGATTCAGTTGTCTATTCTGAATCCGAAAAATTTTGTTTCAAGTGTTGAAACTAAAACGCGAAAAGTTACGGCCATTTTTTTTGAAACCTTGCAGTTTTGGGGTTTTTGACAACTTCCGAGCTTTTTGAATTTTTGGACTGGTAAAAAGTCTCCAAAAAACGCGATGCACACCTGTTCGTGATCAGCGTACAATTCTCTATCGAATGGTGTGTAAAACGTCGAACAATAAATTTCACTTGAAGTCTGATTTCCGAGCATCTTACAAATTGGCTGTGTATGTTATTTGAAATAGCTACAAATTGCGACATTTTTCTGGAAGAAGAACATATTGCAATAGTATCTATAAAAGGAATCAAAGAACTTTCTTGTTTAACTCAACACCGCTGACCAGGAAAGTACTACTGACCACTCGTCTGCGTGTAAAGACACCGTTTGGTTATATTATATTCCGAATTCTTCCTTTAAAAAATTGAACTACTAGCGTTTATTTGGATGTTTTTAAATCGAAAACGTTTTCATAATTGCACAGAAAGAGTGAGTTGAAACACGTAGTACTTTTATCCATATAAAATCACATTATACTTGCAAGAAGACACTGCACAAACTGCTGTATTAGTATTAGAAGAAAATCACAAAATAGGAGTCTTTCTTCAGTGTGTGAGACCATTCTGTACTTAACTGCAGAAAGCAGTCGAACTACGAAAGAGTCATTTGTTCCAAGCGCCTTGCGATTTTATACACCAATGTTTGAATTAATATCTGTGGTTGAAGTAGATTATGACCGGGTGAATGTGCAGGCCAGGAACATTTATCAAATGTTTCAACTGGCTCGTAACATACCTCTTCAATTGTTTTCAAATAGGAGTGAAACTGTTGTTCATTTTCTAAGATACGATTGTGAGAGGTTGTTGTTGGAATGTGTCTTAACAGAATATTTCCATAAAATATACCAAGCCAAACATCGAAATAAGAATAATTTTCACCCGTTGACTGTTGTTGGACGGTATGATCCCTTTTATAATTTAGTAGAACACGTCGCCACTCGTTCCACCAATTGCGTGAATGATATTCTGATAATGATAACATGGACAATGACATGTATGTAGTCGGTAATTGATTCCAAAATTTATCTTGACGAAAATGTAATTTTTTCATATGAAAATAATCCACTAATGGTGTGAATATTTTTGATATACTTTTAACATAGGATGATGTTGATCTATCTATGTTCTCATAAAGATACATATTTCCCCATCCGTTCCAGTGATCAAATTCAGCATGTTTCAATTTCTGATAAGCTTTATCTAATAATTCATTGGGATAATTTTCAAATAAATTTATGTCAGGTAAAAAGTAATGTCTACAATAACGACTTTGCAGCAGTGTACACGTATATTCAATCCATCGCTGACCCAATATAAGTGACATAAAATTCTCATCATTGTCATATATATCATCAAAATTATTTTCTTCACACATTCATAGAACAGATGTTTTTATGAAATAGGATGGCAAATATTGTTGATCAACAATTAAGTTCTTATTTAAATATTTATAGTATAAACCGCGTGCTACATTATTCAACACTTGTTCAACTTTTGAGCGTCTTTGAGCAATCTCTGTCTCATAGGCCGAGAACGAATAACGAAAATCTAATTTTGCTTCTTCTGTTTCGAGACTCACTGTTCTTGACCATTTTGGTATGAGATAGACGGGCAAACATTTAATTTTGTCAAATAAATTTGGTCGATTGGACTTAAAACGATTTAGAAATGGCTGTATAATATCTGGTGTGAATGTTAGTTTTAAATAAGGAACATAATCTATTTCAGGTTCAACTTGACGTGTAAAGAGTCTTTTCAAACTGTTATACTTTTCCGATGTCGTATTGACAAGATGTTTGTGTTTTTCATGATATTGAAGGACAGCTAATATTTTATCATTTAAAACTTGTTCTTGAAATGCTTGACCAAAACTTGTACCAAATAGTTGAAATGCAATTTGAAATGCATTTTTGATAGTTTTTAGAAGATCACTTTTGATGTATGATGGTATTTGTTCCAGTTTTTTTTCCAAGAGTGTTACTATTGTGTTTGGTACATTTATTAACCATTGACGTATATAATCCCTTTGCTGATTAAACAAGTGCGACTGAGAAAAACTAATTCGAAATAATTCAAGGTTTATTAAAATATGTTCAGGTTTGCAAACATAATTCACTTTACCCTGGATACTTGCTTTTTCAATCGATGTTTCAAAATCCACATGTAAAAATTTCAACGTTAATTCGTTTAACAGTTGCTTTTTCAACTGCATCCCATCAATACATAGTTTATTCGTGCTAGTTAATAAGATAGGCAGATCAATGTTTTTTAAATCCGTTTGATCAAGTTCAATCTGAACAAATGCTGGAGATTGTAAATTTGGTAACAACTGTTCTGGTTTATGTGCCTCACCCCGAAAAATCATTTTATCAAGTTCAGGATTACTTAATGGTGAACAATATTTGGCTTCGTATTGACCTTCGGCAGCACTTCCAGAGTCAATAACAACATTTTCTGCCATTACTCTTAAACAAAAGATAAATCGTTATTCAGTAAAAAAAATTTAGTAGAACGTTAGAAGTAGAAGCAAAAGTAGGTTTTCTTTTTACTTAAACGTGAGGTCAGATAAAAGTCTATAAGTGGATTTGTAATTATCAACACCATAACATGTCTCTCTTATCATTCAGTACTTCAAGTTTTATTGCAGGTAAAGAAAGAAGAAACGCATAGTTTTTATTTATTTGACGCCTTTAGCTAACTCTAAACACACTTCACAAACAGTGCTGTGGCGAGAGAAAAAATAGAAAGGATGTAAATTTTTTTGGGAGAAAACCATAGAAGTTCGAAAACACAACACAATCTAGCGTCATTATTTCTACACAAACTAAGCGTTAATGATAATGTTGACATCAATTTGCGCTTTTTCCCTGACTGAAATCAAATAGACGAAAGATTTTGCTCTTAAGTATTTTGAGAGGTATCCCATGGGGAAATTTTAGTAGATACCGCGTTGTGTATACGCGTGAATATGGTGAAATGAATTGTGGTCGCACGTGAACATTTTAAAATGGTGTGTGAGCACGCGTGAAAAATATATTCCACTTGTGATAACGGGTGAACTGGTCACGGAAACGTTTCGCGTCATATTTTTTGCATATGATCACAGGTGAAGGTCGTGAAGTGTGTACACATGAATTTCTCATGTTAAAATTTACGTAAAAAAATATCACTTGCGCAGACGCGTGAAAATGTTTCCCACTAACATACAGTGCAAAAGAAATGGAAAAAATGTCGAGCTCAACAGCTCAGTCATTTCACAAGCTACAAAGCTATATTCTTTTTCATTGTATAGAGCAGAAAAACACTACATAATCATCCAGCTAACAGACTGAATATAGTCCATCTCGCCACATAGCCCGAAGCTTCTTTCGAACGTCCTAAACCATAGCTTGCAACACCTTCTGATTAAGCTCTTTTGCTTTCTGTTTGATTCTTCGAGCCAAGGCGTCCAGATTTTCTGCTTCCCAATTATTTTCGTACACTTTTTGTTCGAGTAGAGCCCAAAAGGTTTCGATGAGCGAGCTTGAGGCACAGTTGGAGGATTATCTTGACGAGGTACGAATGGTACGTTTCTCTAATTCAGAGGTTCCTTCACAACATTCGAGTAATGAGCACTCGCCAGGTCAGGCCAGAAGAGATAATTTCCATTCCGATGATAGTTTTCGATAAAAGGAAGTAGTCTTTTCTCAATACACTCTTCCAAATACGTGGATTGACGAATAGCTTGTTTGCTCCTGTGTACATACACATCAGAGACTCGTTTTGAGGACATGGCCATCCAAATCATCAATTTTGGTTCAAACTTTTTTCTCTTTCGAAATTTGATGCTTGAAGAAGCCGTAAGCGGATCGGTCGAATAAAAAATCGATTGCCACCAACGTTGTCCCCACTCAATTTGAAGTACTTTTCATCGTCCAAAATCAGATCACAACCGCTCAACAACTTGCGGTACATTTTCCCACAGTTCGTTCTTGCTCGGTTTTCTTGTTCTTCGCTGTCCATTTCTGGAGCTTTTCGACGTTTTCTGATAACGACCAGCGTTCTTTTTCTCTGATTACGTGAAGTGGTCGAGTGATTTACTCCAAACCGTCGGCCTGATTTTCGTTGACTGAGATCACATCGATTGTTGACACATTTAACGAGACGACTGAGTTGCTTGTCTGAAATCTTACGAGGTCGACCACTTTTAGTCCGATATTTCGTGGTTCCATATTGACGATACTTTCGTAATATATTATAAATCGTCGTTTGTGGAATATTCTGTTTTTTGAAATAATTTACCGTGGTTTTCACGGAATTATTTGAAGTATCCAAATAGAAGTTGCAAATACGTTGTGCTAGAGCTTCTCTTTCTTCTTGTGTCATTTCTCTTACGAATAGGTTGTAACGGCGAGTGATACCTCTTTCGAAAGAGGAAAGTACGGGCTATCAGCTGGTCATTCGCTTTTCGTTCTATTATTTGTTCTGCCACGAGGAACAGTCCTCGAATTTTTTTCCATTTCTTTTGCACCGTATGTTAGTTAACTTTGTGGTAACTATTTTTTAAGTATGACACAAATATCCAGGCAGCGGCGCAAAATGGCTTCCAAAATCGTTAGTTTTGGACTAAAACCGTTGAAACTTTCATAAATGACATGGTTTTGTAGTCTAATTTTGTTGATGAAAACAAAAAGATTTCTCAAGCTGGCTGTAGATGCTGAGGTTCTCAGAGACCTTAAAAACCGCAGTTACAAAACATTGAAGTTATATAATTTAGATTAGTTTAGTCGACTGGCACGTGTCTGCTAAGCAAAATCATGTCATTTATGAAAGTTTCAATAATTTTAGTGCAAAACTAACGATTTCGGAAGCCATTGTAAGCCGCTGCCTGGAACTGGAAACGCAGTTAGCGTTAAATCAACGCAACAGGAACTTTTACAGTCCTAGTCAATTGTTTCTTTTAGTTGGCCATTCGAGTCAATTAAAAAGAATTCTTTTCCTATGCATGTATTCGCCAAAAACTGTTCGTTGGATAGTGCAACGAGACCACAATAACGATCATTACCTAGTGATACAACTTGTAGTACGTTCATATTATTTGGACGACGTAATTGAAACCACCAATGACATTTAGAACAATCCTCGTCGGCTAGAAGAACGCCAAGATGAGAGCCATTGCTAGTGAATTGAATTCGATAAATTTCTTGTTCCATTTTACAGGAAATTGGTGATTAAAAGTCTTTTTTAATTTCCAACTTGATAGATTATATTCTTCAATTATACTTCCTTTACCGTCATTTTTTGAGCTTGTCATCAATATTTCATTATAGCATGTACAACTCCACATCGTTTCGTCAAATCGTTTAATTTCTTTTAGTTGGTGAGGTTTTCTAGCAGCTATATCTAATGAATGAAGACAGGTTGTGTAGTCACGAGGATGAGCTAAAAACAGAAACTGATTTAGATATGATGACCAACAAATATCGTACACGCCAAAAGTCGGTTCAATACATAGTTTTTCATCTCCTCATTTATCAATTAATGAGAGACTGTTGCTAGACAAATAAAGTAAATATTCATCATCAGCAGCCATAAAATGGCTATCGGTGCGAGTTTCGATAGACAATCTTGGTTTTTCATTTAAAATATTAAGTTTCAGTGTATTCTTCGTTGCTAGTGCATTAGTGTTTTTGGATGATGATGACGCTGTCCGAGATACGTTTATTGTAGTGAAATTGCTACTCATTGATTCAACATTATTCGAAGTCTTGGATGAATGAGGTAGTGCAAAAGAGAGTGAAGACGGTTGAATTGATGTGACTAGAGGTTCAATTTGTTTGATATGAATAATGTGTACAAGTAAGTCAGCTCACTCTTCGTCGCTTCCCCTTCTACCTTTTGTGTATATTGCATTTGCGATTAATTTCTAGTGTCATACACATGAGCGGCGAAATTCTAGATCTATTAGCTTATCAGTTATTACATGTCTGCTTGGTAGCTTAATTGATTAAAACGTCGCGTACTTCTAATCTCGATTCGGATTGTACGTTATAGTCAGCGAGTTCGATTCTCGTTATACACAATCCTTTTTTCTAACTTTTTAAGCCAGCTCAAAATGCCCGTGTCCGGTTAACAGGGCCCTCCAACCACCGATTAATCTGACTTATTTTGGCGGAGTTAGGTAGAAAACAGTATTTTCCTAAAAAAACGGAAAAAACGCATCTTTAGTATTTCGTTTTTCCTAACCAAGAGATTTTCGACAAAAAAGTTCAAATGGCAATGGCTCGAGAGAAAATTTAAAGAGCTATCTACTGACAAAAACATTTTTGACTTTCGATTCTGTCTTCATACTCAAAACCCTCTTTTACTGAAAAGGACCGAAATTTTCGGAAAAACTTAGATTTCTAACTCAGAACTAAATATTATTCAAATGTATTATACATCAAAAGATAGAGCGTCAAAAACTGCATAAGATGCTGTATTTGAAATTTGATTATGATCGAATTTTGAGGGACGTTTCTTCAAAAGAAAGTTTTGCAAAACACGGCTTATTCCAATCTTTGACGTTTTAAAACGTCACCCGTCCCGAAAGGGTTAAATATATTTCGTTTTCGGAGCTACCTTAACCGGTCGGTTAGCTGGTCCGTTAATCTACTTATCAATCTCGCGCTCCTACTCCATTATGATAACCTAGTGCTCGGTCCACTACTAGGTTAAAGCAAGTAATGCGGTATTTTGCTTTACTGTACTCATCTCTAGCAAAGTTTTTTGCAATTTTCCTCTCTTTTGCACTATCTTCAGAAATTTATCGACAAGTACCCTGTTAATAGTCTTTTCTATCAGACTGGTGAAATAAAACGGCAAATGTTGTGACGTTATGTTTAATTGTGCTTTTCGTAATATAAGAGCGTCCTCTATACATCCTGTTTTTATTTTCAAATAATGTACAAAAAACGAAAATAATCCTCATATTATAGAGTCTCAAAATGAAACGAGCGATTATCTCTGAAGTTCACTTTATATTCGAGTATCATAACTGACTAAACATATTATAGACTTTTTTCGAAGATTTCGTGACTACTCACGTGCTATATACATACATACGTACCTTTCTGTTTTTTTGTATATTGTACCTATCACTGGTGTGGTATACCTTGTCGTTGCTTAGTCCTCGTGTGAAAAATGAAAGTTCATTGTTAAAAAAAAGACTGGTATTTGATCTTGTACTGAAAAAAAATGGAACACACTTTTTTATCTTCCGATCCAATGTATATCTTACGAACTATGTATGATTGATTGCCTGTAATGTTAATTTCATTCAACCGTATTCCAGCAAAAGTAAAGTGCCATCATCAATTATCAGCTGGTTTGATGGGTTCTAAAAAGTAGTTTATCTAGTTGTGCAACTTTAACATTATGGCCAACAGTTGCACGTAAAGAAGCGTTGCCGTAAATGTATGATGACTACACCTCACTTACTGC